GCACAGGTCCCCTGTGTGCCCAGTCTGGTGTGAGTGGAAAGCCCAATAAAAGCCCCTCAGGGCGAGGAGAAGTCCAGTGCCCTCTACCCCAACAAGTGTGTGTGTGGGGTTGTACTGCAGAGGGCTACCTGAGGTGCCCTGTAACTGGGCCTGGACGCAGGGGCAGCTTGGGACATGACCAGGACCTGGGTGTCCTCATGGCATCTTCTTAGGTGAGTCTAGATCTCTGGACCTCAGTCTTCTGAGAAACAAGTTGCTCAAAGCAGCGCTCACAGGAGGGCGGAGAGGGAGGGCCGCACTGTGTGCCCCGAGGCCTCTGAGCTCTAGAGTAGCGCAGCCGGCTGAGTCTTGCAGAAGGGAAAATGAAAGCCGGCCCCGCCCGGAAGGCAACGCGCGTAGGCTCCCTCCACGGCTTCCCGCGCGGGCGGAGAGGTTCACGGGCTCCACTGAACCCGGGCAACTCCGCGTGTGTTCCACACCCGACCACTGGCGAATACGGTAGCTGCTCGGAGGGCGCCTACTCCAGGCAATACGGCGGCGGCTCCTCCCTTGGCTCGGTCACGTCCCCCACGTCCCTCGGCCCAGCGTGCGGGCGGGGCGGACGGAGCATCCTCTCTCCCCGCGCCCTAGCCCCCACCTCAGTGGGGCAAGGAGGCCGGCCGAGCGGGAAGCCGCTCGTCCCCTTCCCATCATCCAGGCGAACGCGCGACCCAGTGACCTCTCCCAGCGCCCGTGGAGATGGGCGTGGTTGTGGCAGGGACTCTGGGTCCCTCGCTGACTGCCGCCCCCCATCTCGGCCTGGGACTCCCCTCTGCTCCCACCTCGAGCTGTCCAGTCACTTCTCACCTGGGGGCAGCAGCAGTGAGCCCGGTGTGATGGCCTCTTTGTCCACCAAGGCCCATGGGTGAAATTGGGGCAGCCTGTTGTCCTGAGCTTCTCCTGCCCTCCACCGTGAGACATTTGGCTTTAGGGAATTTGCTGCCAGGGCAGGGGGAGGGAGGGGACCTGGACCCAGCCATGCCAAGGTGGCCCCTGTGAGTACCGACCATGTAGAGCCATGTCGGGTGGGACAAGGTAGTGTGTGACCATCTAAGCCCAGTGTGCCCAGGTTGGTGCTGGCCTGTGGTGTGGAGGGAGAGGCTGGATGAGTGGAGGAGGGTGGCTTTGGCTGACTCCTGCCCCCCAGCCTCTGCCCACCAAGACCCAGTTCAGAGAAGCCAGATGGGAGATACCCTGGAAGCCACCCACCCACCCGCAGGTTTGAAGCTGCCTGCAAACCCATCTGGTGTTGGAGGTGGGATGGGCCCAGGGGTCCACTGAGGACTCACCAGGGGCCCAGCTATGAGTAAGCATGTGGATGGCTGTAGGCACAGCATCCAGTCTGGCGAATGAGGTCAGTTTTTTTGCTCTTCTGGCCCCTGTTGCTTCATGGATGTGAACTGACACCCATGAGCCTGCAGGGTTGCTGGCACATGTCAGGAGCTCGGGGATCCGACCAGGCCTGGGCAGACCCTTGCCATATGCCCACCTTCTGCCAGCCTGGACCTTTAAGCAGCTTCCACACCTGTCTCCGACACCACACTTCAGACTTCCCTCTGAGCCAGGTGGGGGCAGGGACGGCTGTGCTCTGTTTGTGTAACACACACACATAGGGCCAAGCAGGGAAGGGAGGGAAGCTCAGGGCACAACCCTTGCTGGCTTCAGGGGGCTCAAGGCTCAACATCACGAGGGAAAGCTGTTCGCAGGTCTCTGGTGCAGGAACCCAGGAATGGACCTAGCTGCCCAGCTGAGAGCTGGAAGTCAGATGACAGCAGGTACCCCCCAAACTCACTGAGCACCCAGGATGGGCTGCTGGTCCTGGGGCCCCAAGGCTGAGCAGGGGGTGGGGGTGGGCCCACTCTTAGAGGGGACAGTTGAGAGGGAGTGGCCAGTTTGTGCAGGGAACAGCAGTGAACACACGGGGAGCTGCAGCAGAGTGGGCAAAGGGGAGGGGGACGTTGCAGGACTGGGCAGAGCCAGGAGTCCGCAGGGAATGGACAGAAGGGGACCCAAGTTCCAGGAGCTGAGATAGCAATTGTGGGTGGACTGGGTATGGGGAAGGTGCTCAAGGTGGAGGCCAGGTTGCTGGACATGCTGAGCTGGGAGGCAGTGGAGGGGCTGGCTGGGGCTCAGGGGTGCAGGCTGGAATGTTCCGGGTGAGCTTTGCCCTAGGTATGCAGGTGGGGTGTGGAGGAGGGGCATTCGAGGTAGTGTCAGATCCAAGGTGGGGATCAAAGCTAGCAGTGAGCATGGACAGATGAGCCCTGCCTTGCTGAATCCCATCCTAAGGCCCCCAGTCCTGCCTGGGCTGGGGACCCCCTCCAGACAGCCAAGCTTGGTTAGACACCGTGGGGAGGCCTTTCGGATGTATGGAACCCCTATGCCCCTCCCTGCACCTGCCCACTCTGGGTGGGGGACCAGCCCTTGGGAGGCCCCAGGAGCCTTGCCCCACCCAAAGCGGCACCCCCATCCCACTTGGTGGATCAGCTTTCCCCACCCTGAGGGCAGTTATTTCTGGGTCTGGACAGTGTGTGTTTCCTGGGAGGGTAAATGTCACAAAAGGTCAAGCTGTTGTCCAGGGCACTATAGGCACCTCCCTCCTCAGGCAGTTAGGTGAATCCCTGCCTAACCTGGATTCCTATGGCAAGGGGCTGCAAGACACCCCGCTCTCCACACTTGTATCTGTGGAGATGAATCTCTGGAGCCCCAACCCCCTTTGGTGGTGCTCAGAGCTGCCCATCATCAGAGCCCTGGTTGGTAAGCTGAGACCCATTTGGGAAGCCTCATTTTAGGGGCCATTGGATGAGACAAGGGTGTGGCCAAGTGGGCCATGCCAGTGTAGTGGGGACCCCAGCTGGTGTCTGAAGATGGCCCATCCTTGCCTCTCACTGGCCCATGGCAGGGAAGGTGGCCTCTCCCCACCTGAGCCTGATGCACAGGTTCCAGAACTCTCTGTAGCCACCTGGCCCCAGGGCCTTGGCATGTCACCCTCTGTCCCACTCCTCACACTCGCAGAGGCCCACCTCCTGGGCTGCCGATGCCACCTTTCCTGGCCCAGTCATAGACCTTACTCCCTGTACACGTCGCCTGAGAACCCTGGGGGCAGCGGGAGGGCCAGCGTTGGTGGGCTTTAAGACTGCACCGAGATCTCGGGCATCCTCAGGAGCCCTGGTCTGTTGCTTTGTTTTGTATGCCTATTTCCTCGTTGGGCCCTTAGGATCATTTTTAAAGACACAACTTGTTAAGTGCCGTCAGTTGGTTCTTACAAATACCCTTAAATCCAGGGGCTCTACAGTACCACACCAGGATAGAATAACTACCCTTAAAATCATGGCACCGAATCCACCAAGAGCCCAGGACGGCCCCCCACAATGTGTTCCTGAAAGGTCCTTTTAAAAAGCTATCCTGATGTCTGTGGTCTTGTTGTTCTGTGCCGTGGAGTGGGTTCCGACTCATAGTGACCTTGTACAGGGTTTTCGAGGCTGTAAATCTTTACGGGAGCAGAAAGCCTCATCTTTCTCCCACGGAACAGCTGGTAGTTTCGAACTGCTGACCCTGAGGTTCACAGCCTGATTCGTAATCACTACGCTACCAGAGCTCCTGCCTTGTTGTAGTTAATTGCCATCAAATCAGTTCCAATCCATGGCAACCCTGTGTAGGGTTCAGGAGCTCAGACTCCAACTAGGACTGGGTGATAGGAGGACCCCTGGATCTCAGTGAGCCTGTCCTCACCCCAGTACCCCATGACTTGGTGAAGTAGAGGGTCCGTACCTGGACTGGGGAATCCTAGGAGGAGGGGCCATGCGGTGGAGGCTGGTGCACACAGGTGATCATGGGCATTCGGTTTATACCTGGAAATTCCAAGTAGCATACGCGAGCTTTTCCTCCCTCCCTAGAGAGCAGGCTGTCAGCACCTGAGGTGGGAAGTCGAGCTCACTGCCCGTGTCCCAGGTCCTGCCTGGAGGAGGCCGCAGCAACCCCACCTGAAGTGGCCTGAGTCAGGTGAGGAGGGTCTGGGGTCCTTTGTGTAAGTTGTTCACATGGCCAAGTCCCCAGGGTCAGTGGGGTTGCTGTGGGGTTTTCTGGCAGTCAGGGTGCCTGACCCATTCACTGGTGGTCAGACAGGAAGTGTCCCCTGCCTGCCCATTTCCCACAGCAGACCCCCTTGGCTCAGGCCTCCCCTGGGGGTGACAGATCAGTGGGGGGTTTGGCTGCAGGAGGGCATCCATGTCCTTTGCTTTGCTCACCCGCTGTCCACACGGTCCAGCGTGAACCCAAAAGGCAGCAGAATGGATGGGTTGTGGAGGGACCCCAACATCAGGGTCCCTGAGTCCTTGGAAAATGGGCAGTCCACCCACTGGCCAGGTTCAATGCCTGTGGGGTAGGAGCTTAACACTGCCAGATGTGGACAGTGCCATGGTGACCTGCTGCTTCCAGAAATAGGGCCAACCAGGAGGTCTGGGCCCCAACTAGAAAGGCCAGCCAGGTGGTGTCCCCAATGGGGTACCCACTGCTCAGGAGGCTGTAACCTGAGTCTCGCTGAGCCCAAAAAAAGCCTTTGCCCTTTAGAGCTCTCTGGGGCAGCAAGAGGGGCAGTGGGAAGGGACCAGCTGCTGGGGAATCTCTGATTGGCACATGGCAGAGGCCTGAGGTGGGCTCTAAGCCTGCACTGACTGGTGGCCAGTCCTGAGCAGACCTAAGCAGAAAAGCAGACGGGGCCGTGGGGGTGAGTCCCCAGCAGACCAGGGCTGGAGGGTGGGGCCGGGCCCGGCTGGGCGCTGGGCCTCCATGGAGACCCAGGCCCGAGTCAGGCGCAGTACTACTGTCCACGTGGTGCCCTGTGCATGTTCTTTCCCCACCTGCCCTGCTGGCTGTAGCCAAGATTGTCACCTTGACAACCAGTCCTAAAAGCCTAACGGTGTTCCTGTTGCAGGCAGCAAGGACTTGACCCTTCTTCAGCCATGGGGGGCGCAGTGGTGGATGACGGCCCAGCAGGCGTCCCAGCCCCGGATGGAGGCTGGGGCTGGGCCGTGCTCTTTGGCTGCTTTGTTATCACCGGCTTCTCCTACGCCTTCCCCAAGGCCGTCAGCGTCTTCTTCAAGGAGCTCATGAAGGAGTTTAACATTGGCTACAGCGACACAGCCTGGATCTCCTCCATCCTACTGGCCATGCTCTACGGCAGCGGTGAGGCCCACAGGGGTTGGGAATCCTGGAGGAAGTGGCTTGCTGTCTGTCCATGGGGCCACAGTGGAGTTCTGAGTTCAGCTGGCATTGTGGGGGACTGAGCTTCAGTGGGACCTGCCAGTCACTATCTGTCCACTCAAGGCCCTGTGTTCTGAGCTCCTCTGTGTCAAAGGCCCCGGGCTGCCCCACAGGGGGTGTAGTCAGAGCCCTAGTGAACATGCTGTGGGCATGGGCAGGGCCTCCACATCTGGGTGTAGCTTGGAGGCACGTGGGCATGGCCGACCCATAGCATGCTCCTGCCCCCAGGGCCCCTGTGTAGTGTGTCTGTGAACCGATTCGGCTGCCGGCCTGTCATGCTTGTGGGCGGCCTCTTGGCGTCTCTGGGCATGGTGGCCGCGTCCTTCTGCCGGAGCATCATCGAGGTTTACCTCACCACGGGGGTCATTACTGGTGAGTCGGGGGGGGGGGGTCCAATGCCCACCGGAACAGCCGTGGGGGGTGGGATGTGTGTGTACCCGGCAGCATCTTCCCAGGTTGACACAGAATTGGATGGGACTTGAGCAGACATGTGGGTCCTCCGGGGGATGGATGGTCTGGGGCTGTGTCCTCCCATGTCCCTGCCCTGCCAGCGGGTCCCTGGCTTCCCCTGGGGGATGCACATGGGGCGGAGTCCTCTCCAGCGGCATCTCAACTGAGTCTCCTTCCCGCAGGCCTGGGCCTGGCACTCAACTTCCAGCCTTCGCTCATCATGCTGAACCGTTACTTCAGCAAGCGCCGGCCACTGGCCAACGGGCTGGCTGCCGCGGGCAGCCCCGTGTTCCTATGTGCCCTGTCCCCACTAGGCCAGCTGCTGCAGGACCACTACGGCTGGCGAGGCGGCTTCCTCATCCTAGGGGGCCTTCTGCTCAACTGCTGCGTTTGCGCTGCGCTCATGCGGCCGCTGAAGCCACCCCGGATGCCAGGTGCTGAGCCGGGGCCCCGCCAGCCTGCGCCCCGCCAGCCTGCGCGGCGCCTGCTGGATCTCAGCGTCTTCCGGGACCGCGGCTTTGTCATCTATGCGCTGGCTGCTTCCATCATGGTGCTCGGGCTCTTCGTACCGCCTGTGTTTGTCGTGAGCTATGCCAAGGATCTGGGCACGCCCGACACCAAGGCTGCCTTCCTGCTGACAGTGCTGGGTTTCATTGACATTTTTGCGAGGCCTACGGCCGGTCTCATCACAGGGCTGCCGCGTGTTCGGCCCTACTCTGTCTACCTCTTCAGCTTTGCCATGTTCTTCAACGGCATCGCTGACCTGGCGGGCTCCACAGCCACTGACTATGGCGGCCTGGTGGTCTTTTGCGTCTTCTTTGGCATCTCCTACGGCATGGTGGGCGCCCTGCAGTTCGAGGTGCTGATGGCTATCGTAGGCACCCATAAGTTCTCCAGCGCCATCGGGCTGGTGCTGCTGATGGAGGCCATGGCCGTGCTGGTCGGCCCACCCTCCGGGGGTGAGCGTGGGACTCTGGGGGCAGGGTCACTGTGCTGGTCAGCAGGAGGATTTACCTCCCTCACGGCTGTTTTGGCGTTGGACCGCCATGTGCTGGGCAAAGGGGAGGTGCTGTCGTCTACTGCTCTAGGAGGGCATGCCTAGCTCTGTCTTGGGGGTCAATATCCTGACCTAGGGCCAGGAGCACATTGGAGGTGCAGGGTGGTGGTACATCCAGGGACAGAAGGGCCCAAGTTCTTCCTATCAGGCAGGCCCAGGGTGCCTCACAGCCCAAGTCCCGCCAAGTATTTCCAGTGGCCCGAGGGTCAGGCCCAGGAAGGACGCCATCATGTGTCTGGGCATTGGGCCAGGTCCCTCCGGCCCTGCCTTGGGCAAGGGCTATCCCACAGGTCATGGCCAGAGGGGTGGCCCCACCTGGACTCACAAGGTCTGGTGGGCGGAGGGGGAGACACCACCCACCATGGGAGAGACTCCACAGTAACTCGGGTCCCTTTGCAGGCAAGCTCCTGGATGCCACACACGTCTACAAGTACGTGTTCATCCTGGCGGGGGCGGAGGTACTCTGCTCGTCCCTCGTGCTGCTGCTGGGGAACATCTTCTTCAGGGGACGCGGGTCTGCGGAGCCAACCGCCAGGGAGGTGGCCAAGGAAGAGCTGCCCCAGCCCCCCACGGATGGCCCGGTGGACGCCCATGAAGTGGAAGTCTTCCTGAAGGGAGAGCCCGAGAAGAATGGGGAAGCCGTTCAGAACCCCGAGACGAGTGTCTGAGAGGACGGGGTGGAGGCAGGAGGCCTGGACACGTGGAGCTCATGTTTATTTCACACACAGGACTGGCTGCCTGGAGGCACCCGTCACTGTTTGGCAGGGGGAAGTGGTGGGGTTGGACACACATCATTCCACATCGGATCTGCAGTGGAGCCAAGCCTGGTCACGATGCTGCCGGACGGCCCGCCTAACCACTGCAGCCCGCCCCCGCCAAAGGACCCAGGACCCATGCTGCAAAGACAACACGACTTTAATCAGAGGCAGGAGGGTACCCAGGAAGAGCTGGTGAAGGTGGGCACTGTCAGCAGCCGGGCCTCCCAGCCTCTGCCCACCTGGTCTGAGGGTGCCACCTGGGCACACCCTGCTTGGATGGGGGCCCTGGGGACATGGAACGTCCACTTTGGAGGGAGGAGAGTACTCGGGGCTTCAGAACCTGGTATGAGTTGAGGATGCAGGTGCTAACAAAACCCCAACATGTTCTGCGGAGAGCCTGCATTTTTACAGTCTCTGCCCTAGTCAGCTCTGATGGCTGTCAGCAAGCCTGTGCTGGGGCCAGTGAAGCCTGGGGGCTGCAGACACAGACCCCCACAGACTCATGTGGGTGCTTTGGACTCTGTGGGGTGGGGGGCGGGGGGACACCCAATGTTGTTGAGCTCAGACACAACATGTGGTTTTGGTTCCCTGGGGCATGTGTGTATAAAGTTTCTCCTGCCTCCTGCTGCCCAGCTTCTGCCTGGGGCTGGCCCTCCTTCGGAGTCTCCTGCCTTCCACTCGGCCTGGCCCATACTCAGGTGGTCCCGACCCTCCATCATGGGCCTGCAATGCCCTGGAAGTGCCTGCACCCACCTGCCCTGTGGCCTGCGGCAGCCTGCGTGGCTGGAAGCCTGACTGAAGGACGCTGAAGCCGTCTTAGTAGGTGGTGCGTCTTGGACGCTGGGGACGGCAGCGCGTGCCTTGGCGGGTCATGTGCAGCCGGAGAGACACCACGTCCCTGCTTCTCTGGAACGAAAAGCAAGCGAGAGCTGTGCTTCACTCAGCCCGCTGGGCGGCCCCCGTCTCTGGGGACACCACACCCCTGTTCTTGCCCCTCACCCCAAACTAGGCAATTCCTCTCCCCGATGACTGCCCACTCTGCTGGGGATGCGAATGGTGGGTGGCAGGCCATGTCCAGGGAGGGGTACACCAAGCAGGGACCCAGGTCCCCATGCTGAATGGAAAGGAACTGACCTCTCGAGTTCCAGAGGCCCAGCCCCCACTCTGATCACTGGGAGAGGATGGGGGATAAAGGCATTTGGAACAGTGATTCCCCAAGTCTGATTCTTGGGGACTCTCCGTAGGAAGGCCTTAGGCACAGGGGCTGTGCAGAGTCCCTGATGGACCACTTCGGAAGGGTTAGCCACTGAAAACCTTATGAACAGACAGCAACAACATGGTTGCAAGATGAGTCCTTCAGGTTAGAAGTCAGTCATTCAAAATACAACTGAGGAAGAGCTGCCTCAGCCTCCCGGCCCAGCCAGGTAGGGCTGTGGGGAGGTTGAGGCTGACCACCCTGTTTTTGCTCTGGGGTTAACTTCTGGAGCCTTCTATGAGCCTGGATCATGGCTGCATCCCCCCCCCCCCCCTTTGCAGGTTCCCATTCTAGAGAGGAAGGAGAATAAAGGGGCAGTTTGTTTGGCACCTGTAACAGTGATTCCTCAAGTCTAGCTCTGGGGGAACCTCTGAAGTGGTCAGGACTAGGTCCAGACACAGGGGCTGTGGGGCCCAGGCGGTCCTCCCTGTACCCAGAACCCAGGTTTTCCCATCTCCTTCCAAGGCAGCAAGAATGCGCTGTTGCTGCTTCTCACCCCTCAACCCTGCAGGGACCAGAGGTGAAAGGCATGTGACCCTGGCCAACTCAGCTGGCTGCTCTCACATCTGCGGGTGTCAGCTGTGCAGGGGGACACCTCCAAGGGGAAGTGACAGCCTGAGGCAGGGCCAGGGCCCCCGTGGGGCATCCTCCCGAGGCATCAAGCACAGCTACAGCCAGACTCGGCCCTGTGCTGTCTGTGGGGACAGGTGAGGCCAGCCACTGTGGGGAGAGGCTTCGTGGGGCTGCAGGAACACCTAGAGGTCCAGCAGGGGTAGCTGAGGAGGGGATTAAGTCCTCGAGGACTCAGCTCCATGCACCTGCTTCTGGCAAGCAATGGAAGGATGGTGACCAGGAGCTCTGAGGAGAGGGTACAGTGCTAGAATCCTTGCCCTCCATGCCAGAGACCTGGGTTTGATTCCCACCCAGAGCACCTCATGCTCAGCCATAACCCTAGGCTGATGCGTTGCTATGATGAAGAACACTTTTCCATGGAGCCTCCAGACCAGGAGGAAAGGCCTGGCAACCTACACCCACAAATGAGCCGATGAAAACCCCACGGAGCCCAACGGTCCAATCTACCTAGAGAACGAGGAGGGTGCCGGGGTCAAGGGCCTGGCCGGACTGGCTGTTTGCGGAGGGCTGGGGGAAGAGACATCATTTGGGATGCAGTGAGGGGTTGGGAAGGCACATAACCAAAATTCCCACCAAAGACTATTAACCGCTGTGGGAGTTCTCACACACAACCATCAACTTCCAACACAAGGGCCCAAGTGCTCGTGGGAAAAACCCTCTAGGGGAATCCAGCAGACGCCCAGACAGCTCGATCCAGGACAAAGAGCATCTCTGAGGTACACAGGCCCCGGCTGCTGAGCGAGTGAGCGCAACAGAGACCAGGCAGAGGGCTGGGGAGAAATGTAGAAGCCGTATGAGTTTATTATTTACACAGTTGTTAAAGTACACAAATACAGTGGTGGTACACACGCGCTGTCCAGACTCCCATACACGGCCCACAGACATCCTACCTATGTGCCCCACAAGTGCGTGGGTTAGACAGTGGGGGTGGAGGCTGGGGGGGAAGGGGGTCCTGAACTGTTCACACCACCGCCGAATGGGGACATGCAGAGTGCCCGCGGCGGCCTGAAGGGAACAGTCTCAGTCCCAGGAAGGCATTGGCTCTGTAAACAGCCCCCACCCCAATCCTTCTGCAACGATCAGCTCTCTGACCATTCAGAACAAGGCAGCTGTGGGGTCAACTATGCCGACAATGTCCACTAGCAGCCAGGGGGAGGGAGGGAAGAAGGTGGGGCACTTGTGGCCCCCAGCCTCCCAAGGAGCAGTCAGAAAAGACACAGGCGCCAAGCGTTTTGGGGCATGGCCCCTCGTCAGTGACATACCCACATCTGTGGAGAGTGTGGCTTTGAAGCTCATGTCTTGGCACCTCGGCGTGGAATCCCTTCTGCCCCCACCACCTCTCTGGGCACACCAAACCACATCCCTTCATTCTGAGCTCACAAACATGGACACATATTACACCCCAACCTGCGCTGGCTACACGTACAGTCTGTTCACAAAATCCCCCCAATTCAAATTCAAAGGCATTTAGGCAACAAAACATCCCCGAATCACGTACCCAGCCCCGACACGACCCACAGCCCTCTCCCAGTCGGGGGCGCCAGACTCGCGCCACACCCAGTGTTGTTGGTGTCCTTATCCTCCACTAGGAAAGATGGCAGCTTGCTCTGTGGCAGCTGGCACCTTCCAAGTGGCAAGAAATCCCTAACTGCTGTGCCAACATCATCTCTGTCCCGGCAGGCATGGGAGGGCGCCCTATGGGGAAGCACGTGGCAGGGCCACGAGACCCCCGCCCACGACACACACACATACACACAACCCGATGGACCACACAGCACAGCACGACAGGACAGTAGACAGACAGATGGACACACACCACTGGTGCCCGGAGGCACTCCTGCCTGACCACCTCACACACAAAATGCCAACCAGTGACTTCCTTTCAGGATTCTTTAACGTCAACACCTTTGTAGGACCGCAAAAACAGACAAGAAACAATATAAAGACAGGTTTCTTTACACAGATTTAAGCCAGTAATTTTTAGCAAAATGATACAAAACTGTCTTAACCAAGAGAAAGGTCGATAGTTACAGTAGACTCGTGGGGGGCTCGGCCGCCAGCACGGAGGCAGATTGGCGGGCCGGGCCGGTGTCCGTCTACTCTGTGTGTGTCCCGTGTGCGTCGCTGGGTGAGTGGGCGGGAGAGCTCCGGTGTAAACACTCCTGCTCTCGCTCGGTCGGGGCGCGTCACTAGGAAGCCATGGGCACAGAGGAGATCAGCCATGCATGCCTGCCCTTCGCGGTAGAGCGGCTCACCGGTGCACGGCAGACTGAAGACCACTGGACGCCACCCGACCGGGAATCTGTCGGAGCCAAAGCACAGAGAGCATCAGCATGTGGCCAACCGCCCGCCACTGCTCGCCCGCTCCAGACGCTCCTCGGACACAGCCGACCACGGGCAGCCATGTGCACCAAGTCCCCAAGAAGTGACCCAGGTCTGGGGATAGGAGGGAGAGCGAGGCAGCTCCACCGAGATCCTGACCGCGCATCGAGTGAAGCTGCTACAACCAACAGAAGCTGCGTGTCCTCCGCTGGGAGGGTGCCATGCACCATGGGAGCGCATGGCGGGGGGCCGCTGATACAGACAACAGCTGCGTGGGACGAGACTTGGTGGGCAGAGCGCGTGAGTTAGGAAAGAAAACACCACGAGGGACAGAAACGAAGGGGAGAAGAGCGAACACGGAGCTGAGCAGGCGGACGCACCCAGGTGTCAGCGAGGCCCCAGCCCTGGAGCCACGCGAGCAGACGGGGAGAGCGCAGGGGTCCCAGCTGAGAGCCAGCTTCTCGGGAGTGCGGGGCGCCCTGCCTGGGACCCACAGCACAGCCTAGCAGAGGCATCCTGAGGCCTCGGCACCTGGCATGCCTGGAGGCGCGAGGGTGGGTGGGTGGCACCAACACTCACCCAGTACCGCCTTCCACGGGAGACGAGCAGCTACTTGCCGTGGTGTTCAAAAGGAATGCTATTCTGAGGTGGGAAAAGACAGCTGTGGGTGAGTGGCCGGCTTGTTTACAAAAGCATGGCCTCTTTACCCACTCCACCACCACACCTATGACACGCACAGGGGACCCCAGGGGACTTCTCCCCTTCTAGATCCATCCACTTAGAGAGCAGGCTGGAGTGGGAACCAGGGCAGCCCTCAGCCCTGGCCACCTGAGCCAGGCCAGCCACCCAGAGACACCTCCTCACCCCTTGACAGTGCGGCTGAGAACCGACAGAGGCTGACCAGAGGTCTGTTCCCATCCTGTGGAGCGGGTCTCGAGGGGGACAGGGTGAGGCCTGCAGGGAATCCCGTCTCCTGTCCACTTCTGCCCAGCTCTGTGACAGAGCCAACTCTGACCACAGCTCTCACCCTGCCGCAGGGCCCCGCCCACAGCTGCCAGCCGGCCAGACTTCTCTCCAGTCCCTGGAGTTATGGACAAACCAGGGCAGCCCCAGGCGTGCCACACCAGGGCAGGAAGTAGAGTGTCGGACCCCCAGCCTGGGAGGTGTCATCTGGGCCCCCACAGGGCCAGAGAGGCAAGTGCGTGAAGACTGCATGCAGCTGTTGTAAGGAAGTGATGCTCAAGGTGACAGGAGGGAGACCTGACAGGGACAACAGTAATGCACTGGGCCACCAACTGGCTGTGTCTTGACTACACCAGTCACAAGTTACGACTTTCTTTGGAGAGAAACTACCACAAGTCAAGTTTCTTTAATGACTGCTTCCCAACGCAACAGCTACGTATCTAGATACGGAGAGAAAGAGGAGCCAAAAGTAAATGACGCATGACTGACTCCTGAACACAAGCGTGCTTCCTGCTCCCTTTGCTGCCTCCAGCCAGACTGAGATGTTCGCCCCTCTCCAAGCAGGAGGCCGACTTGGCCCTGTCCTGGGTTGGGGAAGGGACTCATGGGCCCCCCCAGGCACAGGATCGGGCTCCGTAACCCAGGCTGGCTCCTAGAACTGAGGGAAGAGAACACGAGGCCACTACTATCTCAGGGATTATGAGTGGGAACCTGTACAAGGAGCCCCTAGCAAGGGACCCAAACCTCAGTGAACTGCTAAGCACGCTGAATCAGCAACTGATCGCTCAGACGAACACTGGAAATTTAGCTGGCGCGCTCCTTTAGACTGGCAAGAAGATGCCTGAGGGCAGTGCGCGCACACCCCCGAGAGGTCCTCCCTGAGGCCTGTTCTCGCTCGTCTGTTAGAAGTAACGAGCCAGCTGCAGGAGAAGAGCAATGACAGACGGCGACAGGGGCAGAGGCGAAGGTTACAGACACGAGCGCCTCAGTCTGCTTTGGTTGCAGAAGCGAGAAAGAGCCGCACGCTGTGCCTCCTCCCACAGGAAGCCTCCCTGGGCCAGCACCCAGTCCGGCCCGAAGAGGGACAAGCCTGGGAGTGTAGCACTTCCTGTAGACTAAGCCGGCAAAGACGGGGCGACGGGCGAGCTCCCCTCCCGAGAGCCTCACCTGTGAGGTGGACATGCGCGAGGTATCTTGCCGGCCTGTGAGATCGGATGAGGAGACGTTGACGGGGGCCCCTCGGTGCAGCCGCATACTCACTTTCCGCTCTCTTTCCATGCCGGAGACGGGCCGTGGGGAGGTGTTCGCTGCAGGACGAGAGCAGCCCAGTGAGGCCCCCGCAACCTCGCAGCTGGTACGGGGGGGGGGGGTTGTTTCTGGGTCTGTGCAGTGTGCCCAGCTGGACCCTCGTTCCTCTCTGCACACCACAATACCAGGAAGCACTGGGTACAGCCCCCAAGAGGAGGTGTCTGTGGGAGGTGGGTGGGCACTGAGAGGCTGGAACTAGGGGGTCCGTGTAACTAGAGAGATATAGAGAAACAACCTCAGCCATGGCCCAAGGCAGAGGGACAGAGCACGTCCACCCAGGGTCCAGCGTCTGGGGGCCACTCACCAGTGTGTGAGGTAGGGGTGAGGGGTGTGGGGGGAGCCACTTCCTGTGTTCCCCTGAGGCGGCCTGAGGCCGTGGAGGGGAGGCCCCTGGTGGCTGGGTTTCGAGAGTGTCTCAGCCGCTCCTCTCGGTCCCGCCGCTCTCGTTCAGCATCGTCGGCAGCCCGGCTGGCGCCCTACAGGGAGCAGTGTGGGTGACTCTGTGAGAACACACTCGAGTACCAAGGGCAAAAGGACCTCACACCAGGATGACCAACATGGTCTCAAGGTCCCAGGGCTGGGCCAAAACAAGGACCCCTCCTAGGCTCCACGCCAGTCAACAAACATGCCCATCCTAAGGGCTGCAGGTCTCATCTGGAACCTTCACATAATGATGGGGGGTGGGGAGACAACAATAGGAAATTGTCTGAGGCTGGTGGAGGACCTAAACTGGGGCAGTGATGTCAAGAAGCAAGGTCACAAGGAAGGGGTCGAGGACAATGCCAGCGACCCTGCACCCAAGGAAAGAGTGGTGGCCCGGTGCACGCTGCGGGACTGGACACCATGTAGCTCAATTCGCCCCAGCACAAACACCCACCACCAGCAAGTGTTTGGGGCATTTACTGTTAAGGGGACAAACTAAGCCACGCCTTTGTAAAGGGCTTTATTTGCACACAGCCAGGAGCCACCCACAGGGGCCAAGCCAGCAGGGACCACTTCACCAGGCAGTGCACTGCGTGGACACCAGGGGACACTGGTCCCGGCAGGATGTCCAGGCTCTGCTCGCATTACACAAGGGGCAGCCAGTCTGCGCCTTCTGAGCACGCCCCAACCCCTGGAGTAGCCAATTGCGTGGGACCCTCTCCCAGCACACGTGCTTGGGGAGCCTACAGCCCCTACTGGGCGTCTGATGAGGGTTTCTGTTTTGCACCCTCTGAAGAGGTGGCTATGGGCCTCAGTCAGTAATCTTCCAACCCTGGCAAGGTGCCAATTTCTGTTTCCAGCTGATAACCAAACACATTCTAACTAAAGAGCAAGAGAAAGTTCTACAATAAAGTCAATTCTGGCTGCTAGATCTGGACATCAGTTCATTATGCTCACACAGCATCCAGCGAGCTAGATCAGGCAGCTGAGGTCTGGTCTCCCCACATCTGGCACAGGTAGTGTGCACTGTGGGTGATGAGGAGTCCACAGAGACTGGCTGGGTACCAATGTGGGCTGCAAAGCTGAAGCTCAGCCCCTCTTCAGAACCGCAGGCTCCTGCCCTCCCACATGCAGACACAGCACCTGGCGTCCCTCTGGACGGTCACATGGCTGAAATCCCAGCTGTGGTGGACGGACAGCACCTGCTCCTCAGCCCCCAGCCCGGTTCATCTGGCCCGAGCCCCCACTGCAGCCCCTAGACCTACACCACATCAGAACTGACAACTCCCAAGTCAGCAGCGTCACTTACAAATTTGAGCATGTTCCAGTCAAACACATAGTCATAGGAGAAACCCTGGCGATGGAACAGGTTCCGGAAGAGTTGTCTCAGGTACGAGTAGTCGGGCTTGTCATCGAAACGCAAGGAGCGACAGAAGTTCAGGTAAGTGGCAAACTCAGCTGCAAAACAAGAAACTGGAGGCTAAGCGGCCGGGGCTGGGGGCCTGTCTGTACACCCGTTTGCCGCCCACTGCCGCAGAGAGATGGAGAGCCATCTTATCCAGACCCTAATCCTGGGCAGGCCCCCAGAGCAGCAGAAACATACCAAGTCCGGGCTCTTGAAGTGAGCCAGGGATAAAGCTACTGTCAGGTCACCTGCCCACATCACCGAGTGCTCAAGATCAAGCGGGAGCCATCTCCCAGCAGCCCCCTGGGTGGAAGGGCAGGCCAGAAGGAAACTTACAAGGATAGCCTTTGCACAAGACCTCAATGGGAGTGGACATTTTCTTCTCACTAATCCTTTCGTATTTCTGTCGTTTGGTGGCAGCCTTCAGCCCCTGCCAGGGGAGAGAGCCCAGGTTGAAGTACATCAGCACATAACCCAGGGACTCCAGGTCATCTCGGCGAGATTGTTCTGAAAAGGGAGGGGAGAGAGCCATGAAGACGTTCACACAGAGAAGACCACCAGGACGAGACTCAGCATCATGGAAAAGCCTCCCTCAGGTCACCCACATTGCAGTCCCCCGAACACCCGTCCCCAAACTTACCGATTCCGAGGTGAGTGTTGATGGAGGCGTAGCGAGCTGTCCCAGTGAGGTTTTTATTCTCACGGTAGGGGATGTGCTGGTGGGTCCTGGCGTCTCGGTACTTCTTAGCTAGGCCAAAGTCTATGATGTAGACGAGGTTGCCTTTCTTACCCAGCCCCATGAGGAAGTTATCAGGCTTCACGTCTCGGTGGATGAAGTTCTTGGAGTGAATATACTCAATACGACTTATCTACAGGTAAAGAGACAAAAGCAAGAGGTTAAACCCCAAATCAGCAAGCCATGCGGGGAAAACGGGTCAAAAAGAACTGGGCCGGCACCCCACAGCCAGGAACAGAGTTAGAACTGCAGACACTGGACAGACGGAGAGACGTTACCATGTGAGCCCCATGCCGGGGCTGCGGTCTGCACTAACTGTACTTCTGACCCCCCAGAAGTCAGACGTGTGCTCCTGAGACAATCAGGAGACTCTACAGCTGGAGTATACTGTGCCAAGGCTGGGAGGGTGGGGCTCCAAAGCAAACCTAGAGTGTATGTGGAAGCAAAGGCTGATTTCCATTTTATCCCCCAGCATTAACGGCTTAACAAGGGAGAAAACAACAGAATTACTCATCAAGCCAACAGGTATTGACTGAGCCGCCCAGACACACACACGGAGCCACCTGTGTCGTCCAGCTAGTTCAAAAAGTGGACTCTTACCATTTGGTCAGCAAGGAGCAAGACCGTTTTGAGACTAAACTTTCTGGAGCAGAAGTTGAAGAGGTCTTCCAGGCTTGGTCCCAACAGTTCCATGACCATGACGTTGTAGTCTCCCTCTGCCCCACACCACCGAATGGTGGGGATTCCCACTGCACAAGAAACAAGCAGAGAACTTCAGTATAGCTGTCAGACCACCCGGCCGAGCATCTGCCCCGAGTCCTCACAGGGCCTCTGACGAGGGCCAGGGGCAAAGGTGGACGAAAGGCAGCTGAGTGGAGAAGCAGGTAAGGGGAGTGCTGAGCACATTAGCAACAGAGCCAGTCAGAAATAGTGCACACACGGGAGAAAGGTGGCGAAGGTCGCCACGGAGGAGACACGGCAAAGATGACACCAACATGAGCCGAAAACAGACGATTAGGTGACAGGGAAACAGAAGCAATGGGATCTGTCTGGGGATGAAATAGACACACTAGTGGTAGTTAAACTAAAGACATGTCAAATCCAACAGAATCAGCTGATTCAGAACCACCAACGGGAAGAATTTAAAGCGAGGTCAAGATTTCAGACCAAAGACACAAATGAACGAAGACAAAACATGTGCTTCACAGCAGCCTTATCCCTCCGAGTCAGAGCTCAGACACCAGACATGGGCAAGTTCCTCATGGCTGTCTCCCAGAACACAGGCCCTTCAGGCATGGCTCACAGCCTGGGATTCCACACCAGCGGCAGTCTCCGCTCTCACAAATGTCCACCATCCAGGCACACCAGGCAGCCACTAGCCACTGGGCCAGCACGTGTAGGAAGGCTAGCAGGGCAATGGTTCTCTCACTGGACATTTATTTCTCTTGCCTGCTTGCCTTTCCACATCCATAACTGGCTGCACCATTTATTCTTTATGCATGAATCCACGATGTCAGGTTACTACCCTGCATTTTCACCTATAACCTACCCTCGGAAATACTGTGCTTTCATAGGAAACAAACTCACAAGCCGCAGTATTTGCACAAAATATGCTAATTAAGTTCTCACTTATATAGGTGTCTTTACAGGATTGCTCTTCTGGTTTCACGGATCCACGGTGATTCAGTTTCAGACTCCAGACCAAAGTTCCCCTAGAGCAGCGCACAGCCAGTCCCCTGGTTTTGCCATCTCACGTTACTGCGGCCCATCTGCACCATGACAAACTCAGACCCACGTAGAGCCTCTGTCGATGGTCTGAACTCTTTCCCCTGGCTTGCTTACGCTGGTCCACATGGACTCATGGCTGCGGACGTTTTATTTTGGGTTACAATCTAACACTGTTACTTTGTGACTCTAATGGCACCCCTCCCCCGACACGTGCTCTCAAAAGTTGTGTCCTTGGCCCTTGACTGCATCCCAATATTGTGGGGCTTGTCCACGTGACCACATCCTTACTGTCTGAGACGTCAAGATTCTTAGGTTAGCTTTTCATCAAGGTCTGATACTAAGAGAGCCACCTTTTCATAAAAAAAAAAATAATAATTTAAACCCTTTTTTATGCACTACACAATAATGAATGAAGCCAGTAGGCAAGTGTAGTAGCACAAAGATCTGTAGCTAGAGCATCCTGAATGATCACACCCACTTTGTGATATCTCTCGTGTCTCATAACTGTACTCCGCAAATAACCACCATCCAGAAGCACCTGGTTCCTAGTTAAGAAGTAAAGCTGCTTCCCACCATTCTGTGTGAAGAACAAACCATCACAGGTCTACTCTCCTGCTGCTACGTGGACTAGTGAGCCCATCTGCAGGACACAGCCCCATCCAATCATCGTTATAAGAAGTGCTTTAAAAACAGTCTGAGATACGTCCGCTGGTACACAGGTAAATACCTAGGTACATAGCTGCTGGGTGAAGCTGTTGTTAAAATGTCATCAAGTTAGTTCTAACATTATTCAGGGCCCTGGTGGCTCTGTGGTTAAGTACTCAGCTGCTAACCAGAAGTGTGGAGGTTTGAAACCCATCAGCCTCTCCCGAGGACAAAGCTGTAGCAGCTGCTTCTGTAAAGCTGACCACCACTGGAGACCCTCCGGGGCAGTGTCACTCCCACCTGCAGAGCAGAGTCCCTGTCAGTCACAATCAACTCAGTGGCTAAGGGTTTGATAAACCCTCCAGCAACGAATGCGGTGCTGTTTTTCCACATCTCCAATACTTGTTAAAACTTGTAACAGGCTTGCCCAGGAGCATGGTGGGTTAACAATTCAGTGCTGATCCTACAGCCACATCTAAGACTTCAACACTTAGTATAGCAAACCTCTTCTCCCGTCAATCTAGTACATGTCAAAGGAGCCCTGGTGGCACTATGGTTAAGTGCTGGGTGGGCTGCTAGCTAAAAGGTCAGCTTTGTGAGAGAATGAGGCAGGCAGTCAGCTTTGGTAAACATTTCCACCTTGGAGACCATAGGATCGCAGAGTTGGAATCAATTTAACAATAGCAGGGATGGTGATGCATGTAGAAGAGCATCTCACGGAAGTCTCCGTTTAGACTTGTCACATATTCACAGGCTACAGGCCTTTTCTCTGAAATGCCTGCGCTTGTCTTTTTTTTTGAGGGGGGTGGGGAGATGCACACAAAAACACTCAAGAATATATAATAATTTAAACAACCAAAGGAAACATTCTGAAAGCCTGCCTCCTGGCCACCAGCACTCAATCTCTCTCTTTCCATGCATGAGTCTAGAGTCCTCAGCTGTTCCCTCTCTTCATGCCCTCATCGCTGCCTCCATCTCTGGTATTGCAGTTTCTCTGGAGAGGGTCCCACAGTCTGCTCATGCGCTTCTCTCTTGATGGTCCTAGGGTCCTCTGTTTCTAGACTGTAAGATTAACTACTCCCCCCTTTTTTGTTACAAAACTTCTACCTTTATAACTGTGACACTCGCAATAAGTCATGATAACAATTAACTACTGAATCATAGACTCTTATCCCCATCTCTTTTCACCAAAGCCATCTAGACATATAAAAACTATTCAGTGGGAAATCCACCTTCCCCTACACACTCTTAAACTAAGCTCTCTCTTGAAAACTTGTAAGCCAGTCACTTCATGCCTTTACCGCCCACTCATTTTAGGTAGCCAATGTCTAAGTTGCCCATCCCTATCTAGCCTGTATACAGATGGGATCGGATTGATACTTGATGTGAAGACTCCTTAGTTTTGCTCTCAGGTGGTATTTTGAGCTACAACCTCCATGAGTATAGGCCAGGTTTATCAAATTGTAGCTACTTATACTTCTTTCCTTTAACAAAAAACTTATTTTTTATCTTCCTCTAGTCGAGTTCTGATCATCAAGCCATCGAGAGAGGCTAGGTCACATGGGTACTGTCTGCAAGTTTGGGTGTTCTTGGGCATCTCCTCTCACATCATATCAGCTGGACGCTTCAGTCTCAGCTCTAGCCCTCCATGGCTATGTCCTTGTCCATGGGCTCAGGAGCCCCAGATCTCATCACACTTTGGACCAACCAGCCCTTCCTCTTCTCTTTTTTACCTCTAGGTCAACAGGAGTCTATGGACCATGGGTGAACTCAGCCTGTGTCTTCACTGCTGCCTTTCCCCCTCTTCCACTCACCAGTAGACCAATGTGGTTGCCAGCAAGCTGACATGCTTGCTCACGTGTTCCCTTTGAGTTTCAGTATTGGGGGTGGGGTTAGGGATTGTCCTGAAGGGACGTGATTCTTGCCTTGATGGCTCCCCAGCGAACAACTTGTAGTAGTAGCGAATCAGGCTGCCATTTTGTTCTGGGTTTTTCCTGCTGATCTTTCTTTCAAGTTATCTTCTGTTGCTCTAGCTGTTCCAGGCTGCTTATCTTTGCTAGTGGGAATGTCCCACCTCAGTGAATTCTGGACAGGGCTCAGGATTCCACCTGGGGTCCTATACACTGCAAAGGCTCCGCAAAGAAGCCCATTTCACTGGGCAAGTTCTAGAACCCGTTTTAGGTATTCTAGTCAGTGATAGGCTAAAGATGGGCTTACAAGCTTTCTGTATCATGTTTCCCAATATTCCTTTCTATCCCATTCAAGTGTCTACTTTACAATATAGTAGGCAAGAGAAACCAATATTTATTCATAAGACAGTTAAGCATCGTAACATTATTTCCCCTCTTCAGACTCTGCCTGGATCCCGGAGCCCTGTTGTTTCATGGTTAAGCACACATCACTGTTTACCTGTCCCATTTAGCCCATGCAAACCTGCCTCAGGGTTCCCCGATCTACCTTGTTCTTCCCCGCTTGTGTACTGCCCTCCCCAATACCTGAACTAGGATGTGTCTACCCCCCCTCCCCATGCATGTCTTTGCCAACTTCTCCTAGTTTCTATGTTGTTGTTAAGTACCAGAGCAGTTCTGTACCTATTCTGCATATACTGTTGGTTTTAGGTGGGACAAATGACTTCTCTCAGTTAACGGCATATTTTTCTCATTTTGCTGGGAGTCCTTTTTGATGAAAAGGTGCTTACTGTTAACGATACTGCAAATATTCCTTTGTTCTTTGTGAGTGTGTATCCTACCTAGGAACTTCTTCCTGACTTTAAGAGTCACAGAGATGCTCTGCTTGTTTTCAGCTCTTGGCCTTTCCACACGTACCTCACGTGGTACAACCACGACTGTGTCTCCAAACGTTCGCCACGCCCCCAGAGAGAAACTCAGTGGCCCTCCAGCAACCATCCCACTCCCTCCCTCCTTCTCCCAGAGTCCAGAGCCTCGTAACCACAGACAGGCGATTTTCTCGGTGAGGCCGCTTGGCTTTTTCTCGTCTGGATCGCTCACACACGTGGACTCACACAAGCTGCTCTTTGTGTCTGGCTTCTTCCACTCAGTACAATGCTGCCAACGCTCACATCTCTGCTCAGTGACAGTCCCTTGTGTGGCTGGCCCACAGGGACACTTAGGTTGCCTGTACCTTATGGTTATTATGAGCGCCAGCAAACACTAGCATACTTCATTGTTTTCTTTTAAAATATGAAAAGTTATTTCTACTTCCAACCAAGATGGAGTGGCAAGATACAACAAGCAAAAAAAACCCCAAACACACCGTATGAAACACACAGCAAGGTGGTTTCCACAGCGGCGCCCGAGATGGGGACCAAAGCTCACTGCTATGAGTGTCAACGGCCAATGCACCCTGGAGATGACGG